GAGGATGTTTAATAAAACAGAATAGAATATTACGAAAGCCAGCCGGGAAGCTGGCTAGTTGCTATTTGCGAGCGAAGTGAGAATAGGGGGTCTGGGGGGGGGGTAGTTGCCAAACGGGTCAAAAATCGGGAAAATAGGTGGTGATTTTAGTGAGAAAAAAGTATGGTTTTGCAGGGTAATGTACCAGGCGGCAAAACAGTGACGGTGGGTATCGATTCCCCCTAGGTCCGGTTTTCTGGGGTTTTCTCGGCTCAGTCAATGGACAGATAGATGGGCCAGCTAGTTAGAGAAGATTGGAGAGAGAAGGACATTGGGTGAAAAGTATGTGCAAGAAGGGTTTGTGGGTGAAGAGTCTCTGGGTGAAAAGTCTCTGGGTGAAAAATCTGTGCAAGAAGAGTTTCTGGTTGAAGAGTCTCTGGGTGAAAAGTATATGGGTGAAAAACATGTGCAAGAAGAGTTTCTGGGTGAAGAGTCTTTGGGTGAAAATTATATGAGTGAAAAGTATATGCAAGAAGAGTTTCTGGGTGAAGAGTCTCTGAGTAAAAAGTATATGGGTGAAAAGTATGTGCAAGAAGAGTTTCTGGGTGAAGAGTCTGTGGGTGAAAAGTATATGGGTAAAAAGTATGTGCAAGAAGAGTTTCTGGGTGAAGAGTCTCTGGGTGAAAAGTATATGGGTGAAAAGTATGTGAAAGAAGAGTTTCTGGGTGAAAAGTATGTGCAAGAAGAGTTTCTGGGTGAAGAGTCTGTGGGTGAAAAGTATATGGGTGAAAACTATGTGCAAGAAGAGTTTCTGGGTGAAGAGTCCCTGGGTGAAAAGTATATGGGTGAACAGTATGTGCAAGAAGAGTTTCTGGGTGAAGAGTCTCTGGGTGAAAAGTAAATGGGTGAGAAGTATGTGCGAGAAGAGTTTCTGGGTGAAGAGTCTCTGGGTGAAAAGTATATGGGTGAAAAGTATGTGCAAGAAGAGTTTCTGGGTGAAGAGTCTCTGGGTGAAAAGTATATGAGTGAAAAGTATGTGCAAGAAGAGTTTCTGGGTGAAGAGTCTATGGCTGAAAAGTATATGGGTGAAAAGTATGTGCAAGAAGAGTTTCTGGGTGAAGAGTCTCTGGGTTAAAGTATATGGGTGAAAAGTATGTGCAAGAAGAGTTTCTGGGTGAAGAGTCTCTGGGTGAAAAGTATATGGGTGAAAAGTATGTGCAAGAAGAGTTTCTGGGTGAAGAGTCTCCGGGTGAAAAGTGTAAGGGGGAAAAGTATGTGCAAGAAGGGTTTCTGGGTGAGTCTCTGGGTGAAAAATATATAGGTGAAAAGCAGGTGCAAGAAGAGTTTCTGGGTGAAAAGTATGTGCAAGAAGAGTTTCTGGGTGAAGAGTCTGTGGGTGGAAAGTATATGGGTGAAAAGTATGTGCAAGAAGTGTTTCTGGGTGAAGAGTCTCTGGATGAGAAGTATATGGGTGAAATGTCTGTGCAAGAAAAGTTTCTGGGTGAAGAGTCTCTGGGTGAAAAGTGTATTGGTGAAAAGTATGTGCAAGAAGAGTTTCTGGGTGAAGAACCTCTGGGTGAAAAGTATATGGGTGAAATGTCTGTGCAAGAAGAGTTTCTGGGTAAAGAGTCTCTGGGTGAAAAGAGTCTCTGGGTGAAGAGTCTCTGGGTGAAAAGTATATGGGTGAAATGTCTGTGCAAGAAGAGTTTCTGGGTAAAGAGTCCCTGGGTGAAAAGTATGTGGGTGAAAAGTATGTGCAAGAAGAGTTTCTGGGTGAAGAGTCTCTGGGTGAAAAATATGTGCAAGAAGAGTTTCTTGGTGAAGAGTCTATGGGTCAAAAGTATGTGCAAGAAGAGTTTCTGGGTAAAGGATCTCTGGGTGAAGAGTCTGTGCAAGAAGAGTTTCTGGGTGAAGAGTCTCTGGGTGAAAAGTATATGGATGAAAAATATGTGCAAGAAGAGTTTCTGGGTGAAGAGTCTCGGGGTGAAAAGTATATGGGTGAAAAGTATGTGCAAGAAGAGTTTCTGGGTGAAGAGTCTCTGGGTGAAAAGTATATGGGTGAAAAGTATGTGCAAGAAGAGTTTCTGGGTGA